CCAACTGTTCCAACCTCTGCCTGTTACCCCATTCTAAAGTCACTTCCACATTTTTGGGTATCTTTACAGCAGCATCTCACTACGTGGTACCAATTTGCATTAGTCCATTCTCACACTGCTAATAAAGACAAACCTGAGACTGAGTGATTTATAAAGGAAAGAGGTTTAATTCACTCACAGTTCAGCATGGTTAGGGAGGCCTCAGGAAACTTACAATCATGTCGGAAGGGGAAGCAAGCATGTCCTTCTTCACTTGGCAGCAGCAAGGAGAAATGCGGAGTGACGCAGGGGAAAAGTCCCTTATAAAACCATCAGGTCTCATGAGAACTCAACCACTATGAAGAGAACAGCATGGAGGTAACCGCCCCCATGATTCAATTACCTCCCACCAGGTCCCTCCCATGACATGTGGAGATTATAGGAACTACAGTTCAAGATGAGATTTGGGTGGGGACACAGTGAAACCATATCATTACCCAAATAAAATCTTGAGCTCATGTGGTTGTTATACTCAAAGAAATTTAGTTCAGCATCCAAATAAAATTAAAACTGCAAATACATCTTGCAGTCTATTTAAAGGGTCAACTTGTTACCAAGAGAAACCTGTCCCAGATGCCCCTGCCATTCATTTTCTGGGTTTCTCTCTCACAGCTGATGTGATGTCTCTCACTTTAGCTTTTTCCTCTGCATTAACCCCCAAATTCGCTCTAGTTTCTTTTTTATTCCCCTTTCTTTTCCTATGTTTCTCTTTTATGTAAACCTCCATCTCATTTTTAGATTTTTTCCCACACTGATAAACTGGCTGTGCACAGCAGAGCACAGGGAAGTACTTTACTGAGCTATGAAGCAGGAGGTGAAGCAGGATGTGGATAATCCTATGTAATTCTTCTTGCTCCTGTTACACTGATTTCTGCATGCAACTTTTCTTCTAGTCTCCCAGGAAAGAGACCTTGAAGTAATCCTCGACTTTTCCTTCCCTTCATTGTAGTGTACTGTAGTCATAACAATTTTTTAAAGCTTGAGAATTTAGACAGATTAGAATTTGAGTGACAGTCATGCCCCTTAGTACCACTTGTACTAGTGAATAACTTTTTTAAACTTAAAACATTTTTCTTATATCAAATATTAATAATTTTAAAATTCAAATGGTATTTCTAGATTTGTAACAAAAATAGTGGTTGCCCACACCACACATTCCCACTCCAAATTCCTTCTTCTTTTTTTTTTTTTTTTGTGAGACAGGGTCTTACTCTGTCGCCCAGGCTGGAGTGCAGTGGCACAATCCCAGCTCACTGCAGCCTCAAATTCTGGGGCTCATATGATCCTCCCACCTCGGCCTCCCAAGTAGCTGGGACTACAGGTGCATGCCACACCTGGCCAATTTTTTAAAATGTTCTGTAGAGACAAGGTCTCACTATGTTTCCCAGGTTGGTCTCCAACTCCTGTGCTCACAGTCCTCTCACTTTGGCCTCCCAAAGAGCTGGGATTATGGGCATGAGCCACTGTGCCTGGCCTTATGCTCATATTTTCTAAGAATGTGTATTTAATGTTCTGTCCTTACTTTTCAGTTGTGTGTATAGTCTATGGACTTCCTAACTCTAGAAGACAAGGATTTAACTCTCCCACCCTCACTTCCTAGACACGCGCACATTTATATAAACACATATAAGCTCCCTTTTTTCTTTTCTTTTTTTTTTTTTTTTTTTGAGACGGAGTCTCGCTCTGTCCCCCAGGCTGGAGTGCAGTGGCCGGATCTCAGCTCACTGCAAGCTCCACCTCCCGGGTTCACGCCATTCTCCTGCCTCAGCCTCCCGAGTAGCTGGGACTACAGGCGTCCACCACCGCTCCCGGCTAATTTTTGTATTTTTTTAGTAGAGACGGGGTTTCACGTGTTAGCCAGGATGGTCTCGATCTCCTGACCTCGTGATCCGCCCGTCTCGGCCTCCCAAAGTGCTGGGATTATAGGCTTGAGCCACCGCGCCCGGCCTCCTTTTTTCGAAAATAATTATAACACCCCTTTGGGTTAAACTCCCATTCAGTAATTATCTTGTTATAATTACATATTTATTCACAGCCAAGACATATGCTATATCCTTTTTTGTTTATTGTTCTCACTAGACTCAATAATGGCCTCATTTATTTCCTTATTCACTTTCCTATCTAGCTATTACTTATCATCAAATTCTGAAGATCCCCTTTTAAGATATTCATCCATATCAGGCATTCCATGTGATTCACTTCCTTCTGGAGACATCTCTCCTAGAGGCCTCTATCCCCTATTGTATAAGTCCTAGCTTCTGTCCTAGTACTTGCCACCTCCTGTCTCCTAAGCTGGGACTTCCTGTTTTCTAGGTCCCAAATATTATCCTCTTTCCTGACTCATTTCTTAATTTTGGAGAAGAATATCCTCCAGTAGCTTTCTGAGAAAAAGATATCTGAAAATATCTATATCCTACCCACAAATAGCTAATATAATGAGAGTTGAATTCTATGTTAGAATTATTTTCTTCAGAATTTTGAAGTTAATGCCCCATTGTATTTCAGCTTCCTGGGATTCTGTGGAGTATTTCTATGCCATTCTGATTTCCAGTCCTCTAAATGTGACCTTTTCATTTTTCCTTCAGGAAACTCGGAAGATCTCTTCTTTATCCCTGGCATTCTGAATGCTGTGGCAATGTGCCTTGGTGTTGGTCTTTCTAGGTTTGTTGTGCTGGGCACCTGCTGGGCCCTTTCCATATGAGAATATATCTTCTAGACCTGGGAAGATTTTCTTCTCTTCATTTCCTCTATTATCTTTCTCTTTCCTGTTTTTCAGATGTCACGTTTGTGTCTTTTTTGTTTTTGTTTTTGTTTTGTTTTGAGTGATACCATCAAATCCGTCTGGAAGGCCAATGAGCACTGTCACCTGCTGGGGCTCCCTGCTCTGCCTGCCTTTCAAGGCCTCCCCAGTCCAGCTCCGCTTCCTGCTCCCCTCAGCATGAACCTCCTGCACATGAGAGTTTAGTCTCCTGAATTTTTCCCTCAGTCTCTTTCCTAGGTTTGCTCCTTCTGCTTGGAGTCCTTCCTCTTCTAACCCTTTGTCAGATCCTACTCCTTCTTCCAGGCTCAGTTCCCACATTTGCTCCTTGAAGCTTTTTCATCCCTGTCTTAGACTGTTCAGACTGCTACAGCAAAGTACCTTAGACTGGGTGGTACAAATTCATTGCAAATTCATTTCTCATAGCTCTGGAGGCGCTGAGGTCTCAGATCAGACACCACCATAGTTAGGTTCTGGTGAGGCCTCTCTTCTGGGTTGCAGGCCATTTTCTCATTGTATCCTCACATGGTGGAAAGTGGGCAAGAGAGCTCTGTGGCCTCATTATGGCACTATTCCCAATCATGAGGCTCCATCCTCATGATTTATTCACCTCCCAAAGGCCCCACCTCCAAAGATCATCATGCTCAGATTAATTTCAACCTATGAATGTTGGGGGGGACAGAAACATTACAACCCTTACTCCTTACAATATGTTTCACTTGTTGCCTGGTATTTAAAGTATGTTAGTTTATGTCCCCAACCCCGATGAGTACTCCTTAAGACTACAGGTCATTTCACATACTTCTTGGTGTCACCCCACAGCACTAATCAGCAGTAGGTGCTGATCACCATCTGTTGATTTTACTTAAAGAAAGGCCCATCAGGAAAGTAAGCCTTGTATGCTGAATGGAGATTCCTTCCCAAATACTTTAATGCAGACCTGGTGCCACTTCCATTTGGTAATGTTTTCTGAGTACTTGATCAAGTGCTTTGCCAGAGACTCTGAAGAAAATCGACAGAACATTTTTCCTAGAACAGTATTTGACCATTTCACTTCCCTGATGGAAGACCCATTAGCTCACCAGGGCTTATAGCTGCCTTGCCGAGACATACTGTGTGTAAGGATAGGTTTGGAGATACATCCTAAATAAGGTGATATTATTAAAAATTGACATTTGTCAATAACTTACTCTTCAGAAAAATAAATCAGACTGGTTTCAAGGTCATCACTCACACCTGCCTGCCAAAATGTTTGCTTGGTTGTAGAGAAAAAGGTGGAACTGCAGCCAGAGGGGTGGACTTGCGCATCACCCGGAGTTCACCTGATCTCCTAGCCCAAGGGAGCATGTCCTGAAGGTGAGTTTCTCTATCTTAGAGCAGCTGCAGAAATAAGGCTGTGATTGTGGACTGCAGAGTCCAAACTCCTGAACGTGACGACAGGGACCTGCACGATCAGGTGGCACTTGTCCCCGCCACCATGTATCCACAGCAGCCACTGGAATTCCTCTGAAGCATCCTGCTCCCTCATTGCTATTGCCTCAGCCTTTCCTCTCCCTGGAATTCTCTCCCACCCAATTCCAGATTAGCAAACCTGCCCGAAACGACTTTCAGCTGAAGAGTAGTTGAGAGCGACAACGGTGGCGGTCAGACCACCCGGCCAAGAAGTGCTCAGCGCTGACTGGGGCCGGGCCGTCCCGATAGGGAGACGAGGGTCGCACGCCGGGACGTCCCCGCTCCCTTTCCAAGCGGGGCGGGGAGGCGCGCGGCGGGTCCCCAGGGCAGGAGCCCCCGCGCCGTCCCCGTTTCCGGCCCAGAAGAGTCTCCCGGCCGCGATAGCACAACTGCGGCCTGAGGTCCCGGGAGCCGCCGGTCCTCCGTGCCTGTGGCAGGACAAAGACCGGCATGCAGCATCAAGACACAATCCCGGCCGCAGGACAGTGTATGAACAAAGACGTTCAAGGGCGGCACCCGCCCGACGCCAGCGGGCAGCTACCTGACTGCAGGACCCGAGGTCGGCGAGGACCTGCGCAGTTGCTGTGGCAACAGGCCATGGCGTCCCACTCCGCCAGCGCCTGCGCACCGTGCCCCTGCTCCCTGCGCCTGCGCGTCTCTCTCCCCCGCCCCACCCACGACGCCTGCGCGCCTAACTCTCGCAACGGCCACACAGACCCCGCCCCTGCGAACCTGGCCGAGTCCCGAGCGGAAGCGCCTTGAGCGGAAGCGGAAGTGAACGAGGCGACTGTGGCGGTTGCGGTGGCTGAGGCGGCTGGGCCTAGGGCGCAGCGGGCGCGTTGCGGCTGGTGTTGGCGCATCTCTAGGTAGGGCCGGGCCTGAGGGCACCCGCGCGCCGTCCGGGCCGCTTCCGGCCTGCGTGACCGTCCTTTACCCGCGTCCGACCCTTGTGCGCGTCAGCCTCTCGGCCTCTGCCCGGTCCCGAATGCCGTCCTGGCCGTGCTTCTGCCCTAGTCACCGCGGCTGCGACATCATGGGATCCTCGCTTCCCCGCTGCCGGGCCTGTCGTCATCCCTGCCCCTGCGCAGGACCCTCCTGCCGGGCCCTGGTCCGCGTCGTCCCGTGCTCCCCGACCTCGCGACCCGCAGCTGCTCGCCTTGCCTGCCCCATCTTGAGGTCACCTGTGACCTCGACTCCCTCCCTTAAGATGTGCGTTTGGCTCCTGTGTGTCATTTCTGGGTAGATCTGTTATCCTTCATAGCTGCACGACTTTTGTGGTCGTCCGTAGAAGAGAGAGGCATTCTCTGATCTTTTCACTTTTCTCGCATATCCCTGAGTCAGGGCCCCAGCTCCTTGGGGAACGACAGAAAGACAGAGTTCCCTGCCAGCAAGGAGTTTACAGACCCGTGGGACAACACTGAGCGTCAAGCAGATCCTACGATGCAGAAAGAAAAGGGTACCTTAGAGGGTGATTTGCCCAGAGGGTCCAGGAAATTTCCATAAAGGTGGGATTTGAGCAGAGTTTTGAGTAAGCAGGAGTTGGGAGGTGAACGAGAGTTGAGAGCCTATTCCTGGCAGTAAGAACATAAATGTTTAAGACATGATGGTTTCAGACAGTCTGACATATTCTGGGAACTAGGAGTTGAGCATTTGTGAGACAAGAAATGTTGGTTAGGGATGGGGAATGGCAGGAAGGAAGCTAAAGAGCATGTGGGGCAAGGAAGTGATGGGATCAGATCTTAGCGTTAAAGAGATTCAGTCTGGCAGATACAGGGGTGGGGATGAGGGTGACTGTGGACAGACAAAAGGCTTTTGTCGTCGTTCAGGGACTGGAAACCCCGAAGTGGTAGTGGAGAGAACCTGGAGGTAAAGAAGTGAGAGGGTGGACTTTCTCATGGCCTGGGTCCTTGAGTGGAGAAGTATGGAGAGGGAAAAGCCCAGAATGGGGACCATATCTGGAGCAGCAGGGTCCTAACCTCCATCTCCTGAATATGTGAGAGCATCTTATCCACAGTTGTACTCCCAAGTTCCCCCATGTCTAGTGTCATGCTTTTGTTTTTGACCTTTCTCTGACCTCCCCTTCACTTAGGCTCTTTGACCTGCCCGTCTTTGGACTTTACTATTAGGAGCCACCCTCTGTCACCACTACAGCCTTCACAGTCTGTGTTCTGATACCTTCTTCATCCCATTTCTGCCATCTCCCAGCTCCGTCATTAGTGGATTTTCCCCCTGACTTTGCCATTCCTTTTGTTTTGGAACTCTAATTGAGCCTTCTTACCAGTTGTATTCTTGAAAAGCACCAACACCATTGCTGGGTCAGGGTCCTCACCGCTCATCTTCACACGCACGCACACACCCACACACACCCCATTTTGTGACTACCTTGACCCTCCAGTTTTTTTACTTAGTTTCTAACCACCTAATCTTCCAGACATACTGAAATCTCTGACCACCTGTGGCCCACTGAGAAAACTACAGGAGGTGACATCTGGGGTAACATAGTTTTTAGCATTCTGAGATTATCCCCTATACATGATCCTGAATCTGGATACCATTTATGGGGCAGATTTACTGTAAAGCTAATGAAGTTCAGGTTTCTGGGTCTGTCACTTGCATGGGCCCTTACCTAGGCACTGGGATCTCAGAGATCTTCTGTTTATAAAATGTATGCTTTTTTGAAAAGAGGGTTCCCAAATGGTATGTTTCAAGTCTTTTACAACTTAGATCCCTGCAAAACTGGCTATTTGTCATATCCTTCCTTGAGATTTGCATTTTTGTCCTTCAGACCCCTTCCTTTCCCTACCTCCTACTTCTTCCTCTTCTGGTGTGTGCTTTTTATTTAGGCATGGAGGAAAAATTGTGAACGAATGGAATGGATCAAGTTCCTGCCATAACCTGACTTTATTTAGCTGTAATGTCCGGAGGGAGATGTCAGAGCTTAGTAACTCAGCATGTTGGACAGGATCTTTGTAACTTCTTTGTTGCAAGCTTAAATGCCTGTATTGTTAGATTTATTTCACTGCAGAGTTGCCACCCCCTTTAAGAAAAGGTTGATGCTAAGAAGGAGAGTCTGCTTAATGGAAATCATAAAAGCAACTCTTAACTCCATGGAAACTACAGTTATACACTATGTGAATTCACACAGGAATTTATTGCGACTTTTGATTTATTACTTTGAAAATGCCACCAGTTAGTTTTATAGAGCTTTATAATGAGTATAAATAATTTTAATTGGTGTTCTGTTGGAAAATCTTCAGATTTAAAACATGTTTAAAGTTTAAATTATTTATGCAAAGATAAGGTATTTCTAAGGAATTTTTTAGTAGTAGTTTTAAATCTCCCTGAGAAGTAAATAATTATCTTATTTTTACAAATGAGGAAATCAGTGATGTACAAAGAGGTTAAATGATTTGTCTTCAGCTGTACAGTAAATCAGGGCCTCCCTTAACCAAAAAAGCCAGCTTCTGAGTACTGTTTTCCTTACCAACAAATGATAAAGAGGAATCTATTTTAGTCAGCTCTTATTATAGAACATTTAATGTAAGATGGAGTAAATTATATCCTTCGGTGTTTCCATATGTTAATACCTATCTGTGCGCATCCATATGTATCTACACACTAGGTTCTTTAAAAGTGGGCAGTGTTGATAGTGTTCCTATTAGGACTTTAGTCCAAAGAATTAATTTAATTTGGATTTGTGCAAATTATTATAAAGTCATTTATAATAAAACCATGGCTAATTATGACCAAAGGATATTAACTTTCTGAATAGCAGAGGAGTTTTCTGGCTAGATTAGGTTTTTGCCCATTAAGCACCAAAATATCCCGTTTAGGTTGGGAATCTTCCTAAAGTGTATTATTTCCTGTGTTCTTAAATGGAATGCGCTGAATGTGATGTAAACTTTCCTCAATTATCTCAAGTGACCATTTAAAATACAATTTGTTATGTTGTGATGTGAACAGTAATGTTGTTAGGTTTATTGAGGCATATACAGCTATTTCCTGTGGGGGTTTTTGCATCTTTCCAGTTTTTAAAGTTTTCTGTCCTATTTCATTGAGTCAGCTGTTAGCACTTCTAACTGCTGTCAGTTTTCCTGCCCAAAGTTTCTGTATTTTTCTCTATTGTGGGTTTAGGAGCTAATTGTTAGAACTGATTCGAAAAGTCGTCCGTAGATGATAATAAGAGCCTAAATAAGTGTCTTCTGAATAAGTTGTTTATGCTGCAAGAGCCTCCAAGGGGTTTTGTAGAGCGCAGTGTGGGTAGGAAAGGCCAAGGGCACCAGAGTTCTGGGTTGCTGGGAGAAGCCAGAGAGTCTCCTTCATTCCCCATCCTCCTCTTAGGACCCACCGATAGGCTAGTGACTGGGAATAACGTGGGAAGGAGAGATCTCGGGTAAGGACACATCCCACAGGGTGGCTCTGTGGTGAGGCCTTTGCCCCACTGGCAGCACACAGCAATGACCAGATCACTAACCTACAGCAGTGCTAAGTGAGGGTTGTGGCCTAGTGAAAGGCAGCTGGGCTGTGGAGTCAGGTGGATTCAAATCCTGGCCTCCTTGTTAATTACTGCTTGTGGCCTCAGGCAGGTGATTTCACCTGACACAAAGTTTGCTGCCTCCCCAAAGTGACTCCTGCCTTCTTTGCTGCTAGAATGTGTCTTTGACTTACTTAAGAGGCTGCACAAAACTGATAATGTGCTCTAATCTGGGCCAGTGGGACTAGAGGGGCTGCCATGGGACTTCTGGAGTAGACTGCACACAGTTAACAGTTAGGTATATTTTGATATGTGTGTTACAGCCCCCACCCAAAACTCTCTGCTTCTTAGAGGACTCCGAGTCTTTGCTTGCCTCCTTCCTCAGGGTTCATGGTCTTAGCTGGGAATCTTGTCTTATTCATTGCTGTATCCACGGCTCCTAACACAGGCTTTGGAGCACAGTAAATCCTGAATGAGTATTTATGAGTGAATGTGGGAATGTGGTTGAGTTTAGATCTCATGTTCTTAGTGTGTCTGTGGGGGGATAGAAGAGGGTCTCTCTGCCCTTCTTTTTTTTCTGTGATAGGAAGTGGCCCTGCATCCCACTAGCCTTGGGATTCTCCCAGAATAGGGAGGGAGAGTGGATGCTGAACAGCCATAGCACCTGGTTCACGATGGACCATCTGACTCCAGACTTGCCTGCCTCCACCCATCCCCGGAACATAGGCAGAGCAGTGTTTCTGAAATGCACTTGCTTGAGTCCTTAGTGACATATCATTTCCCTTCGAATGAAGCGTAGACATTTTAGCATGGTTTGCTAGGCCTTTCACTCACCTGGCCCCAACTCCTCCAGCAGTATCTCATCTCTTCATCTTCCCCTAAAATAGGTTCTAGACATACTGAAGGTGGCGTTGTTTTGTTTTTTTTTTTTTCCATTTCTATACTTGATGAACAAATTTATAAATACAGTTGCAAGTTACATTAAACTACTTAATAGAGCAGATGTTTTAAGCACCTAATAATTTGAAAAAAGATATCTTATAGACCTTTAAAATATTTCCTCCATGTTGCTCATGCCTTCCTCTGGCCACATCTGCCTGTCTTCAGGCCTTCCCTTTACTCTCTCCTCAGGGGATTGTCTTAGAGCCCTAAACGAGGTTGGCTTTCCCTACTGAAAATTCCCCAACACTCTTACCTTCTCAGTCGTACACTTGTGTCCAAGAGACTGTTGACTGCTGGAGGGCAGGGACCTCATCTGTCTTGTTCATAGCTCAGTGACTACTCCAATGTCTGACATAAAGTTGCTTGCTGAATGAGTAAACCAAATTTATTTTCAAATAAAATTACCTGATATTGTTGAAGAGAGCTGAATATTCATGTTACAAGTGGGTCTATTCTTGATACAATGCTTCTGGAGAAAAACTGCCAATGTGTGCCTGTGCCGTGAGTCAGCAGCTTCCTGTCTGAGATACTAAGGAAATGATGAGAGATCGCTAAGATTTATATGCAAGGATGCGTATCACATTCTTAGTTATGGCGTGCAAAGTTGGAAATAATCCAGGTGTTCTCCAGCGGAGTTAGAGAACTCACGTCCATGTTGTACATCTGTTATACATGACACTGTGGGAGAATAGTAACATTATGAGTTGGGAATGTATAATAAATTGGACACAAAAACAGATTATAAAAATATAATCTCAATTTTTAGAAGCAGTGAATAGTAGAAAAAGGCTGAAATATGTAAAATGTTTAAAAATTTTTTCTTGTGTTTTCTCTGAATTTTCTGCAAATGGTTCATTTTTTGATCATTTTTTTTACAAACTAATATATTTCCCAATATTAAAAAGTAATCTAGCTTATAAAAATTATAAATACAATAAAACCTTACTAAAATTTTTGTCTTTGTTTTAACATTTGTGATAATTTAAGAATTTTGACATGTTGGACAGATTTTACTAAACTTTAGGCAATTGATAAACATGTTTGATGAACAAATTTATAATTATAAATAAAATTGTACCACAATTTCACTGTTGCTAAGTGGCAGTTAGAATCTGGACTGTTGCATTTTATTCTGGAACTTTTCCTTTTATCAACAAAACTCTGCCCATCATTCTCCCACTTCCCCTGTGATATCAGCTGGCGCCAGTGGTCATGGCCTGACTGTTCTGAGGTATCCTCCAGGGCACCCTGAGTCTACACATCTATTCCTAGAAATTTTAAAGTACATAATAGCTATAGGCTTTCTTTGAGGTGCCGATGTTGAAATTCTGGCCTTTGTTCAAACAGTAGGAAGATTTTACTCAAGACTGTTGCAGTGAAGGAGAGAGATCTGGCTCCACTCTGAACACGGTGAGGACAGCTGGGGATTTACAACCAACGAGCACAGTGAGGGTGAGGGGTGGGCATTTCTGAGGGAAGACATCAGGGACAGGGAAATTCTTGCTGAAGGCAAGCCAGGGTGGCCAGATATCAAAGGTGGGTTCTCTCTAAACTGAGCAGGATTCTTGCTAAAAGCCCCAGATTGAGGCCTGGTAGAGAAGAGGGCTCAAGGCCCTAGCAAAAGTGTGGTGAAGGTGAGAGTCAAGGTGAGAGTCTTTATCGGTGGTTGGAAATTCTTGCAAAGCTCAGCAGTTTAATGACCCTTGTATGGAGATCCTCTGAAGCATCAAGACCAACTTAACTGGCACCCACCCTTATTTATTCACCTGGTTGTGCATTCATAAATTATAAACCTTCAGCAGATGCTGTCCTTTGTGCTGGCGAGGGATAACTATTAATCTCCTGGGGTTTTTGGTGCCTGTTCTCACCCAACTGGTGTTCGAGACGTCCCTATGAGTTTCACTTTTTAGGCAGGGGAGGAGAGGAGAGAAGAAACAACAGACCTCAGATGTTCCACAGCAAGCCATGGGGGGACATCACTGGGAGAGCCTGGACCCAGGCTTGGCCAGAAGTTACCATTGAAAGAAAAATTACTTTGTACTTGGAAACAAAACAAGAAAAAAGAAGACTTCGTGTTTTGTATTGTCATACTGGGCTGTTGTTTCAGACTAACCCAAGATTATTTAATTTTCTAACAGATTTACCTCTGTTTGGCTTTGCTGCTTACTCTCCATTAGAGTACAGACATTGTGGGGTTATGTGCTAGTTTGTAGATTAGAGATGTGAATTATTTCTGTGCAAAGATTACGGTTTTATTGTCTCCAGCTTACCTTGCTTATTCCAGTGTGCCTTTGGTGATGGACTGTGTGAGCCTGAGCTCCTCTAGTGCTCTGATCCAGCTTCCCTGTCTCTTAAGTGCCCTTGCTCATTACTACTTGCCTGAGTTACACTTCTAGCTTTCGACAGTCATGCTTTGACATGGCTTAGATGCTGGGAGTGTGTTAAGGTGGTTATAGCAGCCGGGTATTGGTTGTCCTGCAGAGGCTGCTGTCTAGATGGGGAGTTGCCCTTGGGCTGTCCATAAGTCCCTCATCCCTGTGTCCAGAGTGACGCCAGACAAGTCGTCCTCACTGTGTGTGTGTCCATCAATGTCAGGCAGTTTCGTTTATGCTGAGCACATTGCTCTTAACCTCAAGTGTCTGTAAGTTGAAAGATTATAGTAAAGGAGCTTCTGGACTTCTCTTTCCACTTTCCACTTCCCCGTTTACTGGTAACCCAATACCCTGGAACTGGTCTGGCTGTCAGGAGAAGGAGCCAGCCCCAGGAACGAGGCAACCTCCAGCTGTACCTTACGCCTGCTGCAGCTCCTTACTAGGATTTGTTGATGCTTTGTTTCCCAAACCTTTTGTAAGCTGCTTGAGGGCAGTGATTCTACTTTGCACTGCCTCTTTGGCGATAATTGAAGTCTGTAACTTACTGATTCCTGATTTCTCTTTATATACTGTCCTTGGATTAATTCATTTATTCATTCAAATACTGGGCCTGTCCCATGCAGATGCTGTGCCAGGTGCTGGGATAAGACAGGATGGTGAGGCCCACCTTAAAGAGAGTGATCCCCAAAGGGTCCCAGGCCGTATTTAGGGCAATTAGACTCCTCCCTAATGAGAAATAACTTCTGTTTTCTTTCTAAACAATGATTACCTAGATAATGAAAATTTCTTATATAATTTGCAGATAGAATGACTTTTATATACACTTATTATTTTCCCCAGTCATCCTATAATAACCACCTTTGGAGAATGAAAAGCCTCCATATATAGTCTTAGCAATGAAAGGCTTAAAAAAGAAAAAATTTAGAGACATATCCATGGAATTTTCCATACCTTTTTATACATTTTATTCCCTACGTCACTAATTGCATTGATTAATGGATGTTGTGAGTATTATAGCACTTTGAAGATACTGAAATACTGGAAGGCATCCTCTAATATCACAAGTTCCCAAAACCTTTACTATCCCACTTTTTCTTGGTGAATACTGTAGAAGAGCATATTGTAGTGTCACACTCGAACTCATGATTTAAACTCTGAGAAATTGGTCTTGTGTGTCTTGAGCAGTCCAACCCGCAACTCTGGGAACTGCCTGGCCCAAGAGCCCCACTGGCTGCTGGCTTCTGACCACAGTGGGCGTGCAGTGAACCCTAGGACCTGACTCGCAGTCAGATTCAGTCCTCTGCTTTGACTGTATTCAAATGTTGTTCCTTTTTTTTCCTTTTTGCTGTCCAGGGCCTCTCCTGGGCCTGCAGCAGCCAGCACAGAGCTTGGTGAGAGAAGTGGGGCCTTCCCTCACAGCATAGAAATCAAGTCACACTCGAGATTTGTAAGGCTTATCTGTAGCCAGCTCATCAGCCGCAAACCATGCAAGCCCTGTTTAAATTAAAGCCAGGCATACAGCAGTCGTCTAGAGCTGATGAAATCTAAGCCTTCTTTTAAAATCCATTTTGACCAATCTTCTTTGTATTCTTGTATTTCCTTTCCAACGCCTGTCCCCTGTTACTCTGTTGGAATAACAAATGAAAAAGAATACCCTTTTTCAGAAATAAGAGTGTAACCTTCCTGTACATAGGGTCCATCCTGTAGAACCTCCTTACAGTTGACATAATCACATATGAAGCCCACTTTCCACTTCAAAAACTCAAATACCTTGGCTGTGTTTCCAAGATAAACTCTTTACAAATCACAACACTGTAGTGATTTTGATGTAGATGTATGAATGTATCCCATTATATTTAATAACTTTATGAGCAAGACTTTTCTAAATGTCAACATAAAATGTGTGTTATTTATGTTCACCCAATTTTTGCATATTTTCATTATGCAATTAATGAAAATCCCATTAATGTGGCTATTAAACGGATACCTTCAAATTCTGCCGTTAGGGGCTAGAGCCCATTAAAAATCAGTAAATTCTGGTTGGGCACAGTGGCTCATGTCTGTAATCTCAGCACTTTGGGAGGCTGAGGTAGGAGGATCACTTGAGTTCGAGAGTTTGAGACCAGCCTGGACAACATAACGTAGTGAGATCTTGTCTCTGCTAAAATTAAAAAAAAAAAAAAATCATCCAGGTGTGGTGGCAGCTGAGACATGAGGATGGCTTGAACTGGTAGGTTGAGGCTGCAGTGAACTGTGATCACACCACTGCACTCCAGATGAGGCAACAGAGTGAGACCTGATCTAAAAAAAAAAAATCAGTACATTCTTAAAAGATAGTCTTATGAGGATGCCTTTTCTCAACCTGACAATTTATAGTTTCTTCATTTGTAGAATAAAGCGGATAATACTTACATGTCAGGGTCACCCTAAAGATTAGAATGTCTGTGTAAAGTGCTCACCTCTGCCTGGCAGCTGGGAAATACCCTGAACATGAGAGATACCCATGCGCTTAGTCACCTGGTGCCTGCTGCCTTCAGCCTGTCGAGGAGGGGCGTCGTTGGTTTTGTGTTGCTGTTTGCATATTAAGAATTTTTTGTTGTGTTTCATCAAAGGACATAAAGCCTGCATTAATCTTAAAGAAAACTGTAGTGGAAAAAGCATAGATCATAAAGAATGTCAGCATGGAGTTTTTCTGACCATTGACGCCCATCATTGCCTACTTGAAGAACGCCTTTTATAACGTCATATACAATATTGTGCTCATACCTTTTCCAGATTCCAAATTGTAACTGTAAACTACTTTGTATCTGTTTTTAAATTTCCAAATGGGCAGTTTCTCTGCAAAGTCAGTTAGTCACTATCTCAGATACTACAACATTAGGCATAGTGAATTTTATGTGACTTTCTTAACACCTTTATTCAGGTGTATGTGACACATGTTTGCAGTATACAGTTTGGTAAGTTTTAACATACACATATACTTGTAAAACCATGACCACTAAGTGGTGAATGTATCTGTCACTCCCAAAAGTGTACCCTTGGTAATCCTTCCCTCCACCGTCTGTCCCCATCCCAGGCAACTGCTGACCTGCTTTCTGTCCCTAGGGGTTAGCCTAACTCTTCATGAACTAGAATTTTATGTAAGTCGAGTCATAGTGTGTACTCTTTTTGTCTGACTTCTTTTACTCAGAAAAATTATCTTGAGAATCATCCATGTGGTATTTCAATTTATGTTTTAGATTTTTGACAGTAACTTCTGAGTCCCTAGGTGAGAAATACTACTACTTTGAAAACTTAACCTCTTTCTGAATTTTATCAAGAAATACCTTGAATAATAATCTTAGTGAAAACATTGAAAGGCTGCTACACTCTCTTGTCCTTGTGAAAGCCCAGCTCAAGTAATTAACTTATACTTCGGTGAAGTTCCTCATATGTTTGAATTGAGAACTCTTCAGGCTCCTAACCAGCGTATCATGTTACCTCAGAGACAAGAATGTTTTTGGAAACAGAGTGTAAATATTAACTACTGTGTTTGCTTTGAAAGGTGCCATACGTCTAATGATAATGCCATAATTACTGATTAATTTATTTTTCTTTCCAGATCCTTTCCCGGAGTTCAGTTATGGGTGTGAGAGGTTTGCAAGGATTTGTGGGAAGTACCTGTCCACATATATGTACAGTAGTAAATTTCAAAGAACTGGCAGAGCACCACCGAAGCAAGTATCCTGGATGTACCCCTACCATTGTGGTTGATGCCATGTGTTGTCTCAGATACTGGTATACTCCAGAGTCTTGGATCTGCGGTGGCCAGTGGCGAGAGTACTTTTCTGCTTTGCGAGATTTTGTTAAAACTTTTACGGCGGTTGGGATCAAGTTGATATTCTTCTTTGATGGCATGGTGGAGCAGGATAAGAGAGATGAATGGGTGAAACGAAGGCTCAAGAACAATAGGGAGATATCCAGGATTTTTCATTACATCAAGTCACACAAGGAGCAGCCAGGCAGAAATATGTTTTTCATCCCCTCAGGGCTAGCTGTGTTTACACGATTTGCTCTAAAGACACTGGGCCAGGAAACTTTGTGTTCCTTACAGGAAGCAGATTATGAGGTAGCTTCCTATGGCCTCCAGCATAACTGCCTTGGGATTCTAGGGGAAGACACGGATTACCTAATCTATGACACTTGTCCCTACTTTTCAATTAGCGAGCTCTGCCTCGAGAGCCTGGACACTGTCATGCTCTGCAGAGAGAAGCTCTGTGAGAGTCTGGGCCTCCGTGTCGCCGACCTTCCTCTCCTGGCCTGCCTCCTTGGCAACGACATCATCCCAGAGGGCATGTTTGAAAGCTTTAGGTACAAATGCTTATCATCCTACACCTCTGTGAAAGAGAACTTTGACAAAAAAGGTAACATCATATTAGCTGTGTCAGACCATATATCGAAAGTTCTTCACTTGTATCAAGGTGAGAGAAAATTGGAAGAGTTATTACCTCTGGGACCAAACAAAGCTCTTTTTTATAAAGGAATGGCATCGTATCTTTTACCAGGACAGAAATCTCCATGGTTTTTCCAAAAACCCAAAGGTGTAATAACTTTGGACAAACAAGTAATATCCATGAGTTCGGACCCTGAGTCCAGGGAAGAAGTTCCCACGTGTTCAGACCCTGAATCCAAGCAAGAAGTTCACATGTGTTCAGACCCTGAACCCAGGCAAGAAGTTCCCATGTGTTCAGACCCTGAACCCAGGCAAGAAGTTCCCATGTGTACAGGCCCCGAATCCAGGCAAGAAGTTCCCATGTGTACAGGCCCCGAATCCAGGCAAGAAGTTCCCATGTGTTCAGACCCTGAGCCCAGGCAAGAAGTTCCCATGTGTACAGACTCTGAACCCAGGCAAGAAGTTCCCAGGCAAGAAGTTCCCATGTGTACAGGCCCTCAGTCTGGGCAAGAAGTTTTAATATGGACAGACCCTGAATCTAGGCAAGAAATTTTGTGTACAGGCCATGAATCCAAACAGGAAGTTCCCATATGTACAGATCCTATATCCAAGCAAGAAGACTCCATGTGTACACACCCTGAAATCAATCAAAAATTACCTGTAGCAACAGATTTTGAATTTAAGCTAGAAGCTCTCATGTGTACAAACCCTGAAATTAAACAAGAAGACCCCACGAATGTGGGGCCTGAAATAAAGCAACAAGTAACCATGGTTTCAGACACAGAAATCTTAAAGGTATGTGGATCTGCCCAGGCAGTATGCCATGATTGAAAATATACCCACTGACGGATTTGTTGGTGAAGATCTATTACTGCCTTGGTGTTTGGCCACTGTGAGAGGATGCACAACAGGAGTCTGTAAGGCTTGTTAGGAAGTGTGACATTATATGTGTGAAAACTCATAACCAGTGTTGGATACTATCACATGAATATTACAGAAAAGTGCTGTAAGAATACAAGAGAGAAAGAGAACTTTGTGGGTTAAAGTACAGGGAGAAGGCTGGGTGCAGTGGCTCACGCCTGTAATCCCAGTACTTTGGGAGGCCAAAGCAGGTGGATCACCTGAGGTCAGGAGTTCAAGACCAGCCTGACCCATATGGTGAAACCCCATCTCTACTACAAATACAAAAATCAGCTGGGCATGGTGGCACACACATGTGATCCCAGCTACTCGGGAGGCGGAGGTTGCAGTGTGCTGAGATCATGCCATTTGCATTCCAGCCTGGACAATGAGAGCAAAACTGTCACAAAAATAAAGTACAGGGAAAAGGCCGGGCGCGGTGGCTCAAGCCTGTAATCCCAGCACTTTGAGAGGCCGAGACGGGCGGATCACGAGGTCAGGAGATCGAGACCATCCTGGCTAACACGGTGAAACCCCGTCTCTACTAAAAAATACAAAAAAACTAGCCGGGCGAGGTGGCGGGCGCCTGTAGTCCCAGCTGCTCGGGAGGCTGAGGCAGGAGAATGGCGTGAACCCGGGAGGCGGAGCTTGCAGTGAGCTGAGATCTGGCCACTGCACTCCAGCCTGGGTGACAGAGCAAGACTCCGTCTCAAAAAAAAAAAAAAAAATGTACAGGGAAAAATTCCCCAAAGAGGTAGAACTGGAGCCAGACCTTAATGAGGCGGCAAAGTATGCATTGAATAAGCAGATACTTGGGAGTTGTGGAAGTACTAAAGGTGTAGGTTTCGAATCTGCATCACTCGGGGGCACAGGGAGAAAGGCCAGGCTGGAGCATGGGGTTTGGAGAAAAAAAATGGGAAAAGGTAGACAAAGCCAAATTGGGAAGGTTATTAAATGCCTCATGAGGAATTTGGACTTAATTCTGAAAGTATTATAGCACCTTTGAAGATTTTTGAAGGGGGCCACTACGTATGAGGTTCTGTGGTAGGTGCGTTAGGTAACTTTTCTCATTAGATCTTCTCAACAGCCCTGTGAGATAGACTTATCCTTGTTTTACAGAAGAGGTCTGTGTCCACATGAATGTCTCAAAGGTACCTCAGCAAGTTCTAAACCAAACTTAACTATCTTAACCACACACCTTTCCTTGTTCCCGGTGCTGTGAACGCCACCATCTTTCATCTAGTTACAACTACATAGATCTGTAAGGAAGCTCCTGCCCCAAGTCTGATGCAGAACTCAGGCCTGGACAGCAGCTGAGCAGCTATGTGATGAGACCTGGAGGGCAGTGATGTGAACCTGCCAACCAACCAGCATTCGATTTTTGTAAGCAGGTATATTGATGTGATCACATTTTTGGTTTTAGAAACATTACAGTGCAGTGAGTGGAGTTAAAGTGGCCATTGCAGAAACTCAGGTAAAATACAAAAGAGCTAGAATTAGGAAAATGGCAGTGGAAATAGGAAGAAACAAATTCAAGAAATGTTTCAGAAGTGAAACTAATAAATAAACCTTGCTGTGGAGGTGAAGTTCCTCCTGGAGCACCAGGGATGGTAGACGCTGTTAATCTAAGGAAGGAGGAGGAAAGGTTTGACAGGGAGAAGAAGGTTAAGTGGGTTATATTTTAGTTGAGTAGATAGCACCTCTAACACATGTTCTCATAGTGAAATATGGGCCTAAAGTTCTATTACTGGCAAGAGACAGGCATCTGGGAGTTATCCTATTTTATGTGTAAAGTAAAAGATGATGTGGGATGGAGACTAAGGGACACTCCACTGAGAGATCTGGAGTGAGCAGAGGAGGAAGAATAAGGAGGGGATAATCCCCACAAAAGTCCAAGGGGACAGGTTTCGCAAATGAGAAAAGAAACAGGAGTATCACATGCTACAGAGGAAAGAAGTGGAATAGGACTAGACATAGGCACTTGGGTCAGTCATGAGCAGGTCCTGGTGGCCTCAGAGAGTTACTGCAGCACAGGGTTGGGAGTGGAGGCAAAGCCAGCGGGGGTTTGGCAGTGGAAGAGCCTTTGTTGGGGAAGGCGGGGTCAAGGAGAGTCCTCACAGGAAGGGAGTGCCTGGGCAAAGTGGTGGGTGGAGTTGTTCACATGGATTTAACTTAATTGTATCTTTGAAAACAGTTTTGAAGTTTCTTACATTGCCCTTACACTTTCTCTATAAAAAATTTTTTGCAGTGTCATCTTCCAACCCTAATAGGCAACTGAAATTCCAACATGTATTTCAACTATATCAACTATACACAGTCACCCTGGAAAAATGCTCAGGTAGAAAGGCTGTGGGCACAGCAGTTACATTGGGTACCCACATAACCACAGCCATATATCTGTGTCTTCTCTATGTCAGCATTTTGGAAGATCAGTTGAGTGTTTGTTTCTTTGAGACAGGGTCTCACTGTCACCCAGGTTGCAGTGCAGTGGCAAGATATCCTCTGCCTCCCAGGTTCAAGCAATTCTCCCACCTCAGCCTCCTGAGTAGCTGGGACTATAGGCGCGCTCCACCACGACCAGCTAGGTTTTGTATTTTTTAGTAGAGATGGGTTTCGCCATGTTGCCCAGGCTGGCCTTGAACTCCTGACCTCAAGTGATCTACCTGCCTCGACCTCCCAAAGTGCTGGGATTATAGGCATGAGCCACCACGCCTGGCCGGCTAGTCTTATAATCCTATAGAACATGCATTGGCAGTGAGCTGCAAGCCACATCTCAGGACAAGTGTGTTTCTTATATTGACTCATTTAATCCTCACAATAGTCCTGGGAGCCGGGCACTTTTTTATTAAACCCATTTTCTTTAGGAAGAAGGTAAGGAACAGAGATTAAGACTGAAGCCTAGGAATAATGAATCAACATAACTAGGACTGTTTAAGTACATGTAAATGAGACACTTAGGATTCAGAGTTTCTGGTATCCAGGTTATCCTAGCATCACATTTTAATGCCTTTAGTAGTAGACTGGATTTAAATTTTGAATAGTAATCTAGATGAACTTATTCTCACAGTAATAATGTTCTTCACTGGAAGGTAAAACCTATATATTTAGGCTATGATAGACCTTCTGATTTTAACTACGTATTTAATGAGAAAGTGGAATTAATTTAAATCTTGTATCTCATCACCTATCATGAGCCAGCACTGTCTTGACATTACAGAGGAGAAGCACCTGTGCCTGGCATGTGATTTTCACTCATGAAGCAATTTCTGAACAAATGAGTGAATGAATACAGTCCGGCTTCTAATGCTAAGCAGCTTACAGCTTAATAAGGGAGGCAGACCAGACAGCTGTGTTACAGAGAAAATAGGATACGAGCTCCATAAGGCAAGCTGGAGGTTGGTCCTGTCTAAGGGAGGAGGAGAGGGTGACATCGGCGAACCTTAAAGGGAAAGAGGATTGTAAAGTGGGAGGCTGGGAAAGAGTGGAAGAGAGATTCTGGGTAGGGTACGTTCTTATGGGGCACAAGTGAAGGTAGAAGAAGATTGAGTACTCTTGAGGAACAATGAAGATGTTCTGTTGAGACTGGATTATGGCCATTTCTATGAGGGTGAAATGATGTACAAGGCTAGAAAAAGGAGATTGAGGCTTCATAGTGGGACCTCGAATGTTATGCGAAGGATTTGTGGTAGCCTTTCAAATGTTTTGAGTAGGGTAGCAAAGTTTTCAAAGACAGTGTGGCAATGGTGTGAAGGATGGGTTGGAAAGGAGAGAAACTGAGCTAGGGGATTAAGACCCTTTCATAGCAATACTGGTGAGAAGTAGTGAACACCCGGTTACTGGGAGGGTATCCAGGAGACAGAACAGTGAAATCCTGCAGAAGACGTAGACGTTTGGAGAGAGGCGGAGGAGGGGGAATAGAAAGTTTGAAATTGGTAGTCCGAAGGAAAGAGAACATGGCAACTTGATGTCATGAATTTCAGTGTCAATTACATTTCTGAGGGCCTTAAAAAACTGCCGTGTGATGAAAGGCATTGACTTTTTCTATTTGATTTGAAGGTTACTGTCTTGCTTTTAAGGAGAAATGCAGTTGTATTTAAATTTCAAACAGATTGCTAGAACACATCACGTCCAAGCAGAAAGCTACCTGGTGTACAACATCATGAGCAGTGGAGAGATTGAATGCAGCAACACCCTGGAAGATGAGCTTGACCAGGCCTTACCCAGCCAGGCCTTCATTTACCGTCCCATCCGACAGCGGGTCTACTCACTCTTACTGGAGGACTGTCAAGGTGAGAATTGGTTGGCCCCTCTTAGGAAAGGTTCTGTTTGGAGTTGAATTCTGAGAAACTGGCCACATGAAATAGAGTGCATTCTTTCAGGACATGGAGACAATTAAATAGGTTTTATTTCCCTGTCAAATCTGTAATTGAGAATACCACTGACATCTATAAAAAACTAAGTATAAGTGCCATTTGACATCTATATCTAATTAGCAGGCAGTTGATCAGTATGTGTTAAAAGAATGCATGATTTCTATAAAATGTCATATTTTTATGCCTTAAAAGGATTTATGCTTTTTTAAAAATGTGAAAACTCTTTCCTGCTGTAGGGGAGAGTAGGATATACTTATTATTAGAAGAAAACAGTGTCTACTTAGTCTTCCCTCAAAATGTGATTTTTATAAAATAATTTTACAGAATCTCGTATGTCATGTTTTTAAATACAAACAATTTTCCTTGGGTGTTTTTGTAATTAAATTTGTGTTTTTCTCATCTATATTTCCATTATGTGCTTAGCAACAAGAGTAGAGAGTGGACCATCAATCACCCAGACAGTGAAAATGAGGAATTTAACCCCAAGGAGAAAGTTAGTGAAGGTCCCATAACTCACCGTTTGGAATAGTTTTGGGGAGAATCAGGAGTGTGGAAGAACACTTCATATTAGAAACCAGAGATGCTGAATGCATTTAGTGACCTCCTATTTCAGTAAGGCCTTGTTTTTTTAAACAGAGACCTTTGACAGGTACTTTACAGTCTGATTTGAGAGTGTGTTGATAAGAAACATGGTCTACACCCTATTACCAGGATGAGAGAGAGAAGGAGTAGAATACTGGTGAAAGTGGTCCATTTGCCTAAACATCATTATTTCCAAACGTGTCAATATTAACCTTACTCTGTTGTTCCAGAAAGTGAACATTTACATGATCTAAAAGTGCTGATAGAATCATCAGATGGAAAAGTCATCATTATTATTTTTGGATGATGGGGCTCAGGGGTAGTGGGGTTATTTAATCCAGCTTTCGTTAGATTCCTGTAGCACCACCCAGCGTGCACTGCTTTCTCCCATACATACTGCGAGAGTTTACCCCTGTGGCCTAAGGAAGCAGACAGAAGAAAGATGTTTAAGCTGATTTAAAAACGAAAATAAAGAACCTGTGTAATAAACTCTGGAGCCAAATGTTACTTAAATCATTTTTTTTTATTATTATACTTTAAGTTCTAGGGTACATGTGCACAACGTGCAGGTTTGTTACATATGTATACATGTGCCATGTTGGTGTGCTGCACCCATCAACTCGTCAGCACCCTTCAACTCGTCATTTACATCAGGTATAACTCCCAGTGCCATCCCCACCTCCTCCCCTCTCCCCACAATAGGCCCCGGTATGTGATGTTCCCCTTCCCATGTCCAAGTGATCTCAATGTTCAATTCCCACCTATGAGTGAGAACATGCGGTGTTTGGTTTTCTGTTCTTGTGATAGTTTGCTGAGAATGATGGTTTCCAGCTGCATCCATGTCCCTACAAAGGACATGAACTCATCCTTTTTTATGGCTGCATAGTATTCCATGGTGTATATGTGCCACATTTTCTTAATCCAGTCTGTCACTGATGGACATTTGGGTTGATTCCAAGTCTTTGCTATTGTGAATAGTGCCGCAATAAACATACGTGTGCGTGTGTCTTTATAGCAACATGATTTATAATCCTTTGGGTATATACCCAGTAATGGGATGGCTGGGTCATATGGTACTTCTAGTTCTAGATCCTTGAGGAATCGCCATACTGTTTTCCATAATGGTTGAACTAGTTTACAATCCCACCAACAGTATAAAAGTGTTCCTATTTCTCCACATCCTCTCCAGCACCTGTTGTTTCCTGACTTTTTAATGATTGCCATTCTAACTGGTGTGAGATGGTATCTCATTGTGGTTTTGATTTGCATTTCTCTGATGGCCAGTGATGATGAGCATTTTTTCATGTGTCTGTTGGCTGTATGAATGTCTTCTTTTGAGAAATGTCTGTTCATATCCTTCGCCCACTTTTTGATGGGGTTGTTTGTTTTTTCTTGTAAATTTGTTTGAGTTCTTTGTAGGTTCTGGATATTAGCCCTTTGTCAGATGAGTAGATTGCAAAAATTTTCTCCCATTCTGTAGGTTGCCTGTTCACTCTGATGGTAGTTTCTTTTGCTGTGCAGAAGCTCTTTAGTTTAATTAGATCCCATTTGTCAATTTTGGCTTTTGCTGCCGTTGCTTTTGGTGTTTTAGACATGAAGTCCTTGCCCATGCTTATATCCTGAATGGTATTACCTAGGTTTTCTTCTAGGGTTTTTATGGTATTAGGTCTAACATTTAAGTCTCTAATCCATCTTGAATTAATTTTCATATAAGGAGTAAGGAAAGGATCCAGTTTCAGCTTTCTGCTTATGGCTAGCCAATTTTCCCAGCACCATTTATTAAATAGGGAATCCTTTCCCCATTTCTTGTTTTTGTCAGGTTTGTCAAAGATTAGATGGCTGTAGATGTGTGGTATTATTTCTGAGGACTCTGTTCTGTTCCATTGGTCTATATCTCTGTTTTGGTACCAGTACCATGCTGTTTTGGTTACTGTAGCCTTGTAGTATAGTTTGAAGTCAGGTAGCATGATGCCTCCAGCTTTGTTCTTTTGACTTAGGATTGTCTTGGCAATGCGGGATCTTTTTTGGTTCCATATGAACTTTAAAGCAGTTTTTTCCAATTCTGTGAAGAAAGTCATTGGTAGCTTGATGGGGATGGCATTGAATCTATAAATTACTTTGGGCAGTATGGCCATTTTCACAATATTGATTCTTCCTATCCATGAGCATGGAATGTTCTTCCATTTGTTTGTGTCCTCTTTTATTTCACTGAGCAGTGGTTTGTAGTTCTCCTTGAAGAGGTCCTTTACATCCCTTGTAAGTTGGATTCCTAGGTATTTTATTCTCTTTGAAGCTATTGTGAATGGGAGTTCATTCATGATTTGGCTCTCTGTTTGTCTGTTACTGGTGTATAAGAATGCTTGTGATTTTTGCACATATTTAAATCATTTTTAAAAATTTCTTTTTCTTAGGTGCTCTCCACCCACATTCTTTCTTAACATGGATATTTGCACATTGACTCTAATGATGGAAAAAAGAGATCTTCCTCATGAAAACGTTTTTACATTAAATCATAATATTGGAGTTATTTTCAGACTCTTTCATTAAATTAAACTATGTAAACTTCACTAACCTAAATTTCATACTTTGTTAATGTAATGTATTTACGACCAAGTGGATAACTTTATTAGATAACCACATAAACAGGAAAAAACATTCACATTGAACTTGTCTTCATGGTTGATATTTAGTTCTTTCTCCCTCAACTTTTTGGCTTTCTACATGAAGTTTACATTATTAATATGTGAAAATAAAATGCTGTTTTTGCTGTTTTATATATGATGATAATGAACTGTATTCTATGTTATGTGTTTGACTTAGTTTATGATCCCATTTGTATTTGAAAATGTGTATTTTACAGTTGTGGAGTAGAGTGTTCTGTAGAAGTCAGTAGTGCTAATAAGGTTATTCAAGTCTTTTACTGAGTTTCTGTCTATTTGTTCTTAGTTCCTGAGAGAAAACAGTTAAAAACTCCAGCTCTTACTGTGAATTTGTCTATTTATTCCTTCTGTTCTGTCAGTTTTTGCTGTAGGTATTTTGAAACTGTTGTTAGGTGCATATATATTGAGGACTATTACGTTTCTTAATGAATCAACCCTTTTAATAGGAGAGTTCACTTTTAAAAACATGGTAATACTCCTTGTCCTAAAGTTGTCTTTGTTTTATTGTAATATAGTCACTCCAGTATTCTTACTGTTAATGTTTGCATGATGTGGTGTTTTTTTCTATCCTTTTACTTTTAAACTATTTCTTAACATTTAAAGTGCATCTGTTTTAAAGACGGCACGTCCAGTGTCACAGTCTCTTTCTTTTAATTGGAATGTTCACACTGAATGTAACTTCTGGCGTAATTAGGGCTCACTCTTCCATTTTACTCTTTGTTCTTTTTCCCCCCACCTTATTTTCTCATTTTCTTACTTCTTTTGGATTAGTTTAATAATTTTTAGTATTGTGTTTTGTGCACTCATTTGGATTACTAGATTTACCATTTAAAAAAAAAAAAGTGGTTGGCTGAACATGGTAGCTCATGCCTGTAATCTCAGCACTTTGGGAGGCTGAGGTGGGCAGATCACCTGAGGTCAGGAGTTTGAGACCAGCCTGGCCAACATGGTGAAACCCTGTCTCTACTAAAAACATAAAAATTAGCTGGGCGTGTTGGCAGGCGCCTGTAATCCCAGCTACTCGGGAGGCTAAGGTAGGAGAATTGCTTGAGCCCAGGAGGCAGAGGTTGCAGTGAGCCAAGGTCATGCCATTGCACTCCAGCCTGGGGACAAGAGCGAGACTTAGTCTCAAAAGAAAAGAAAAAAAGTGGTTGATCTGGGGGTCTGTTAGATTGGTACAAAAGTAATTGCAGTTTTTGCAATTACTTTTAATATCTTTAACATCACCGTTTACTATTGAATAATATACCATGTTACTTGCAATATAAAAACCTTATAACTGTGTGTTTTCATTTTCCCCAACATTTTTGCTATTGTTGTTTTATGTCTTATACATATATATATATTTTAAATTTGAAATAATTACAGATTCACAGGAAGTTGCAAGAATAGTACATAGATTCCCATGTACCCTTCACTCAGATTCCTCCAAAGATGACATCTTCTATAACTGTGGTGTAATATCAAAGCCAGAAATTTAACATCAGGTACAGTGCTAACCAAACTGCAGACCTTATTCACTTGTGCCGTTTTTTACATGCATGCAGTTATGTGTGTGGGTGTGTAGGTCCGTGCAAAGATCCTGCAACCACCACCACAGCCAAGATACGGAACTGGTTTGTTAGCACTCCCTCCATGTGCCCCTATGTCCTGGCAATCTTTCTTCCCCCCATTCCTGTCCTCTGGCAACTGTTAGTCTGTTTTTCATCTCTATGTTCTTGTTCATTTGAGAATGTTACATAAATAGCAGCATATAGTATGTAACCAATATGTAACGTTTGGAGATTATGCGTATGTTTTAAACCCTATAATACATGATTTTAACACTTTTAAATTGGGGTTGGCACACTTTTTCTGTGAAGGGTCAGATAATAATAAATATTGTAGGTTTTGAGGGCTCCCTCCACAGTCCCTGTCACAGCTACCCAATCCTGCTATTGTAGTGCAAGAACAACCAGAGACAATATGTGCAGGAATGAGTGTGGCTGTGTGCCAGGAAGCCTTTATTCAATGTTCCCATGTGACGGAATTTGAATTTTATTTTATTGATTGATTTATTTTTTAGAGACAGCGTCTCACTCTGTTGCCCAGGCTGGAGTGCAGTGGCACCATCACAGTTCACTTCAGCCTTCAGCTCCAAGGCTGAAGGGGTCCTCTTGCCTCAGCCTCTTGAGTAACTGAGATGACAGTCATGCGCCACCACACCCAGCTAATTAAAAAAAATTTTTTTTTGAAGAGATAGGATCTCGCTGTGTTACCTAGGCTGGTCTGAAACTCCTGACCTCAAGCGCTCCTCCCACCTCAACATCCCAAAGTGTTGGGATTACAGATGCAAGTTACCGCACCAGGCCAAAACTTGAATTTTAGAGAGTATAATTCTCAGGAGTCACAAAATATTCTTAAAAACATTTTTTTCCAACCATTAAAAAAATATGAAAAACATTATTAGTTTTCAGACTGTATAAAAGCAGGCAGATTTGACCCATTAGCTGGTAGTTTGCCAATACCCACTTTAAATTATAGGCTTTATACACACTGCACACGCAGGCTGCTTTGGTGAGGCTGGTGAGCGAGTGGGGAGTGAATGGGAAGCGAGGACATGATCGTACACTGCTGTAGGCTTTATACACACTGCACTCACGGGCTGCTCTGATGAGTCCACTGGGTGAGCGAATGGGGAGTGAGTGGGAAGCCAGGACATGATCGTACACTGCTGTAGGCTTTATACACACTGCACACGCAGGCTGCTCTGGTGCGTCCGGTGGGTGAGCGAATGGAGAGTGAATGGGAAGCGAGGACATGATCATACACTGCTGTAGGCTTTATACACACTGCACACGCGGCTGCTCCAGTGACTCCAGTGAGTGAGTGGAGAGTGAATGGGAAGCCAGGACACGACCGTACACTGCTGTAGGCTTTATACATACTGCACACTTAGGGCTATCATACATTCATAAAAAATATTTCTTTCCTCAACAATAAATTAACCTTACTCTAACTTTTTTACTTTATAAACTTAAATTTATTTAACTTTTTGACTCTTTTGTAATTAACACCTAACTTAAAATACAAATACATTATACAACTGGACAAAAAATTCTTTACGTCATTGTATAAGCCTTTTTCTATTAGAAAATTTTTTAACTCTACCTCCTGAATTCATACTTTAGAAATTTTTAATTTTTTTAAACTTCTTTGTTAAAAACTCAGACACAAGCACACAAAGTTAGTCTAGGACTCCACGGGGTCAGGATCATCAAGGCGTCACCAGGAATGTGTATGCAGTCCGTCACTAACCGGATTATTGTTATGCCCTGCGGGACTGTATTTCATCTTTGTTGGGGGGGGGTACAGTTTTGCTGCATATAGAATTTTAGGTAGTTCTATATTTTCTCCTGGCTTGTGTACTTTCTTATGAGACAACAAGGCTCATCTTTATCATTGTTCCCCATGTGTATCATGGCTTTTTTTCCTCTGGCTGTCTTTACAATTCCTCTCCTGTTTGCTGGATTTTAAGTAAGGTTCACTCTGCTCCCTTCATGGGATTCTTGAGCTTCCTAAATCTATGGGTTGATATTTCCTATCAAATTTGGAAGAGATGAGCATTTTTAAAATAAGATTTTGTCTTTCTCAGTCTCTTTTGCCTCTTCCTCTGGGCCATTTATTGACTTCCTCCCACAGGGTCCACATAGTTTTGCTTACTTTCACGTCTAGCGTTTTTTGATTGGATGCTAGAACATTTTGGATACTAAGAAGAGTGTTGAGTTTTGTTCTGTCAGGCAGTTGCTCTGCCTGCTCCTTCCGAGACTTACCTTTAAACTTTATTAGGCTGTGTCCGTTGTGGCTTTCACTTTACCGCTAGCACAGGCCTACTCCTAAGACAGGGCCTCCCGGGCTGTCACCAGAGTGCCCGAGGTGTAGGACGAGGCCTCTTCATGTTTGCTGGTGGTGGACACTCCGCTGTCTTCAAGCCCCGTGCAAGCTCCATTGGTTGGTCAGCCCCAGGACCTTGCCTGGCTTCTCTGAGTCTTACCCTAAACCTGACAGCTCTCTCTTCAGCCGGAGGCTAAAGAGCACTTGGGTCTGCACGCTGCCCTGCTCTCTGGTGCTCTGTCCTGCAGATCGTGGCCTCAGCAGTCTTGATCTCCAGTCTCTGTGTCCTCATGTGAGGACTACCTCCCTCACTAGGATACAATCTGGACAGTGCCTGTGGGCAGAAAATTGGCGTGATAGAGGGTTGTTTCCCTTCTGCCTGGGATAACAATCTGGCCCCGCCCATCGTCCATCACATGAATGCAGTCACTAGAACCCTTTCTTCAGTTCTGGTGTTGACGGCAGGAAGGCAGGTTGGTGGCTCTGCCCATTCGCAAGCGCCCACCACCACGGTCCCCTGCCCAGTGGCTCCATCACAGCCACCGCCACGGTCCCCTGCTCAGTAACTCTCCATCACAGCCACTGCCACGGTCCCCTGCCCAGTGGCTCCATCACAGCCACCGCCATGGTCCCCTGCTCAGCAACTCTCCTTCGTCACAGCCACCACCACGGTCCTGTGGCATCGCAGGTGCTGATAATGCCGAGTGCAAAGTCCAGTGCTGGAGTGATTCATGTTCCTTTTTTGCTGACTTTTTTTTTCTTAGAAGGTTTTGAGATGTTCTCTTTATCCTGTGTTTAGCAAATCTCTGTTGTCTCAGTTCTCCCCTAGAACTGCTGTGAAATGCAGGTGGGGCTCCCTGGATTGATACTCTCTTTCTTCATCTTTGATTCCTGTTTTTGTCTTTTTCTTCTACTTTAAGGGAACATCTCTCCACTTCATTTCTCAGCTCTTTTATAGAAAAGTGCCCCCTCTTCTTTTCATCAAGGCCTGCTTCCCCCAGCCCTGGATCCAGCCCACCGCCTCTCTCTGCCCCACATCGAAGCCCTCTGCCCAACTTGACCAGCTGTCTGACTGATGATCACATTTGTGCTGGAATGTCTGGCATCTGGGGACACCACCTCTTCTTCCCTTCCCCCGTAAGCACCTGCTCTCTGCTGACCTCCTCCCTTTAGAGTTCCTCAGCTACACCCACTGTCTTCTTTACCTGGTCTTGCTTTAAAGAACTGTATCCGTGTTGACTGTCAAATTCCAGTAGTTTTCTTTAAGTGTTTTCTGGAACAGTGTGAGGGGGGTAGGGAGGAAGGACATCGTAGGAGTCATTAACATGGTAAACTCTCTCTCCCATATTATTGTTTACTTACCCAGATTATCTTGAGGATTTTGTCGGTTCCACAGAGTATGGTTCTTGATGAAATGAACAGATTACCTTCAGATTGGAGGATAAGAAATTAATTGTTGGATAACTAAGGTTACTTAGTCACCTTGGATTTGAGAGCTCACCTATTTATGGACTTTGAATTGGCCACCTGGGCAGAGCTGGGTCTGTGACACTGTGAGCTTGGCGACGCGTGCTCTTGCACATCTACTGACCCAACTCTTTTTCTTCAGATGTTGCCAGCACCTGCCCGGCTGTCAAGGAGTGGTTTGTATATCCTGGGAACCCACTGAGGCACCCGGACCTCGTCAGGCCACTGCAGATGACTGTTCCAGGTACAGACAGCCTTTCTTTAAATGAACCACAGATCTTTCCATTCTATGATAAAAGTCTAAGAATGGATCAGTTATGGAAAGCATCTTTTACCAGAACTGCACAAATACTAGTTTTTATTTAAACTCTTGGCTCATGATTAATGTATTCATCTAATAAAGTCCTAAAATAATGGAAGGAAGATGCTGTGGCAGGTTTACCCTGGACCGTCTGCGGCGGTGCTCTGCCTCTTTCTCCACCACCCTGGTCCAGGTCCACAGCAGTGGGGAGAGAAAAGAAACAGAAGGATGGCCGTGGTCAGGGCATGTTGCTGCCACAGCCCCAGTGCCTGACATCTAGTTATTGCTTGGTAGACGTCCATGGAGTTTAGCAGGATAGATTCTTGATATTCTGCTGGAATCAACAATCTTATCTTTTCCCCACCACTGAAAGTATATTTTGATGAGTTCTGGAACCAGAAAGAGAAGATAAAGGAGGGTTATTTTAACTGGAAAAAAGGTTATATTTTCATGAGTAGTATCTTAAAACTTAATGAGAGGTAAGGAAAAACAAAGTTCACCTACAGATTAGCTGAAGTATATCCAAAGAACAGCCTTTCTTTCTGTGAGTTCGTAGTATCTGAAACAGGTCAGGAATGTACAAGTGTCGGGGTAGAGTTCTACATACAAACAGTTAAGGAAGAGGAGGCTAAGCTTCAGAGTTTATTTTTAGTGGCTCACATCATTGTTTCACGGAGCAAATATTTTCTTACAGTTTTGCTATTCCATTTTCATATACATTGAATTCTCTGGTGTTGCTATTATTCTCCATCACATGAACCTGTAATTTACCAAGTATGGATCTGAGCACTATAAATGGTTTTTAAATAAATGGAATTGTATTGAGAGAGAAGTTGAGAAGAGCTGTTGTAGGGAGTGTTCCTTATTCTGTTAATCAATCAATTTTAGACTAAAACCTTAAAAGTACTTATCACAGAAACGTAATTAAAATGCATTGACATTTGTTTTTACGTTAAGCAGCATTTTTTAAAGGATAGCCAAAATAATTTTCCAAAAATGTTTTATTATATATGTAATTTTCATCTTATAGTATCTTTCCAAATATAATATGGAAAACGACTATTACATCTCTCTTCATTGTTTGAATTAAAGAGAACATTTGACGATTCGTCCTTGTGTCAAGAGTTAATTTTAAAGGCCACTCTATGTAATGTTTTAATAAATTCCAGAAATTGTGTATTAGAGAGACTACTTCAGAGCTTGTGAAAACATCCTCTGCTGCACTCCAGGAGTGGGAAAGCGTGTGTGTAGCACTGTGGACCACACGTTGGGTTCTCTTCTGGAAGGAACTCCAGAAGCCTGTGCCCTACACGGAGGGCCACGTCTCAAACACACTCTTTTCCACAGCTATTACTCTAGAAATTGGATTTGAACTTTTACACGGAGGGCCACGTCTCAGACACACTCATTTCCACAGCTGTTGCTCTAGAAATTGGATTTGAATTTTCATACGGAGGGCCATGTCTCAGACACACTCATTTCCACAGCTGTTACTCTAGACATAGGATTTGAACTTTTACACGGAGGGCCACGTCTCAAACACACTCTTTTTCACAGCTGTTACTCTAGAAATTGGATTTGAACTTTTACACGGAGGGCCACGTCTCAAACACACTGGTTTCCACAACTATTACTGAATTTTTATTCCAGGTTATTTCAATGGATGACTCTTTATTTACACTTGCATTAGCGATAATTAAAAAGAGAATATTTTAAATTTAAAATGCTTTTCAGTATCTATGAGGAATATTGCCAAATGATTTTAAACGAAAATGGAAAACAGAGCATCCAATTTCCTGTCACAAGTATATTCACAGAATACAGCATACGATTAAAAACAGTGAGATCAGCTGGGCGGGGTGGGGGTCACGCCTGTAATCCCAGCACTTTGGGAGGCCATGGCAGGTGGGTTACCTGAGGTCAGGAGTTTGAGACCAGCCTGGCCAATATGGTGAAACCCCGTCTGTACTAAAAATACAAAAATTAGCCGGGTGTGGTGGCAGGCACCTGTAATCTCAACTACTCAGGAGGCTGAGGTAGGAGAATTGCTGGAACCCTGGAGGCGGAGGTTGCAGTGAGCTGAGGTCACGTCATTGCACTCCGGCCCAGGCAACAACAGCAAGACTCCGTCTCAAAAAAAAAAGTGAGATCCTGCCGATGGGCCCTCCCCTTCCACCTGTCAGGAAAACCTGCGAAAGGTTCTTGTCGCACCGTTAGAGCCGATTTTTCCCGAATGACACCCATACCTGATTTTCGTTGTTCTTCTAAGACAGTTTTAATTAGGGTAATCTCATGAGTGCTACATTTTCAGTGAGTTTTTCAATATAGTGGCCCATGTTCTTTTTCTTTTTTAAAGGCTTTTTCCTCTGACAGCACGTGTGATTTAATGTTTGCTTTCCTGAATTGTAGAAATAAAAGGAAATCACAAGTATTTTTCAACAAAGTGGAAGTGCAGGAAAAAACGATAAAAATTAGTGAAAAATTAGGAAGGGGAAATAATCAAAATTAACCAGCCAGGGAGCAGAAAAAGAAATCTCATTCCTGGGTGCTATGGTTTGAATGTTTGTAACCCCCCCCTCCCCACCCCCTGCCAAATTCCTGTGTTGAAAACTTAATCACTAATGTGATGGTATTTGGAGGTGGGCCTTTGGGAGGGAAAGAGGTGATTAGATGCGATTCCTGCCCTTATAAAAGAGGCCCCTTGTTTGGTGTGAAGGTGCCGTGTGCTGTCTGTGAACCAGGAAGCAGGGCCTCACCAGAAATTAACCATGCTG